GGAAATCCTTCTGAAGACATTAAAGATAGGGACAAACAAAAGAATGAAAATAAACCAAAGAGAGAACGTAATTCTATGGTGCTCTTCAAAAAGGGTAAAGTTAAAATTTTGTTCGCGATCCTTAAAATAATTCATTCTGAATTTAATTTTGTATTATAATAAAATAATGTAGCGTCTATTCCTCCTCGATTTTCATCATTGCCATCACGAAACTCAAGAAACAACAATCGTTATAAACATCCGACAATACAACAATTACAAGCTCAGTATCAACCACAAATTTCCAACAAGTCCGATCCAGTTAGTCAAGGTTCTCTATCTGAAGATTGCGTCAATAATCAACATATTATTCAAAATCAATTAAATTCATTGCCAGCATCTCAATCATCCAAAACTGGTACACCTTCTATCGATACTCTTGAAAGGCATAATGTTCCTTCTTATATTTCTACTATCAAAGCCAATAAACCATATCTTAATCTGAGCACAAGTGCATCTCGTTCTGTACCTTCACTTGTTACTGGAAGAGATAATGATCTTCCTACAACTCCATCTACTTTGAAAAAACTTCAATTTTCTTCAAATATTCTTGTACATGAGACTTGGACGCCTGATGATTACGATCGTCGAAGTGACCAGTCAACTTGCAACAAGCTCACTCCTCTCCTTGCTCAAAAGATTAAGCAAGAGTTAAATGAGTTCAAGTTGATTGAGATGCAAGTTCACGAAGACAGCAAAAAGAATACCCATTTTTTTGCTTAGAGAGACTATCCTACCATAGGTTTATGCATCAAACAATATTTAGTTTAATGATAAATAACAATGTAATTTTTTGCTGTTCTCATGTAGTTATAAGTTAGACTGGGTTAGATTGTGGTATATATTATAACAAATTTGGTGTAGTTTATAAATTTATACATACATTTGTATTCATAGCTTACAAATAATATATCATAGTATCGACATATATTTATTTATAGAACTTATGCTTATTTTTAGTTTGGTTCTTTTTGAAGACATGAATTCAACCATAATTCAAGTCTATAGAATCAGTAATTTTATGCTAATTCAAAAATCAACAGATTTGTCCTTTTATAGGCAAATGCATATCAGTTATGATCCAATTTCTTATACGTATTTGATTATAGAAAAATCGTTACTATATCAGAAGCGATTTTCACTCTTATGTCTTTTTATAATACAGACTCGTTGCTATATTTTTACTAAGCTAAACGGATCTTTGTATCTTTTCTTAACAATGTATGTTAAAATGTTTATAATTTTTAAAGAATCAATTTTTTTTTTAATTCATTCTATTTTCAGGGTATTTTACAATTTGAATTTATCAAACAGTTCAAAATAAACCCTGGGAATAAATTCTTGAGCCAAAACACAAAACATAATTTTACGGATTACATGCGAGCCAAAAATCTATATATTCTTTGAAATACCCCTCATAATAAAATTTATGTTCTAAATAAGCACCGTCAAATAAACTAAATTACGATACCAGGTGATCACTATTGCTATATGTATTATGAAATCATACATAAAAATCTAATCTAATCACCCATACAATGATTCCAAAATTTTGGGTCTGAATGTATTTGAGAAATTAATTTCGAATATACAAATTAATGAGTAAATTCACGTGATATATACGAAATTTGATTGGCTAATAAGGCCAGCCGAAGTTCTAAAATTAAGGGATCCGAAAAGAAAATGAATGAATATAAAAGACAAGCAAGGTCAGGACAAATTTTGTGTAAATCTTCTGATATAATTTTGTATAAATACAAAAAATTTTATGGAAATCATAGCTAGGGGTATGCCATTATTAGTAAAATTCTATTTAAACTTATTTGAAATAATTTGATTGGCTGAATCAAAGTAATATTACATATACAGTACTGTATATAATATATAGTTAGGTTTCTAAGTGCACTTCTTTAAAACTATAGTAAAGCAAATAAAGATACTTAGAAAGGGTGTACATTTAAATTATAATTTAAAACTAAGCAGAAATGAATTTAAAGAGGTTTTTTATAAGCATATATTTAAGAAAAGTGTACTTAGAGAGTTATAACTGTATCTTTATTAAAATTTATATTGTATATTGTGGCATGCCAGGAGTGGCACCCGTGTATGAATTTTGACGAATGGCATGCCAATTTTTTACCCATGCCAGTCACCCTAATCATAGCCGGCTGGGTCAGAATTAATTTTGTCTAAGATTACAAAATTTTTACTACATACTGTATATAGCAATTTATATATTAAGTAAAAAATGCCCAACTAATAATTCAGTAATTTTGCTACAGTCAGACCTCTCTTAATGCATAGTCGTGGGCGGCCAAAAATCATGTATTTAGAGAGGTATTGCATTTAGGGAGGTAAAAATCTATAAGTGTCATATGAGTTGGGACTATGCAAAGCCATGCATTTAGAGAGACTATAGAGACTATGCATTTAAGGAATATGCAGATCTGACTGTATAGACTTTAGCAGTGATCCCATAAGAAGGTTTTTGTATAATTGGTTAATAATTTCAATTTATAGAGTTTTATTATCAAAAATACAGTATAAAGTTTTGTAATGTATTGCTACCCTGATCAACCAATTAAAGTGCAGGATCAGATACTGTATAATGTAAAATCAAAAATCGGCTATAGCATAAAATTTTCTATTTTTTGTGTTCTAACAAAAAAAAATTTCTTAAAAATTTTGAATTAGAACCTTTTTTATAAAGTAGTCTTAAAATATTTTTATTTAAAATTTCAAAACAATTTTACCAATCTATAAAATTAAGTTTTTTAAAACTTTTAACAAAATTTTTTAATTTGCAAATTTGTAAAAACCAGGTAATTAAAATTTTATCAAGTGAAATTTGAAAAATTTTGTACAGCTCTAATCTTATACTGTAAATATTTTAAATATTTAAAAAATATAGTTCAACAATTATTTGATAAAATTTAATAGAATTTTTTATTTAAATTCTACATATCTGTAGTAAAATTTTTTTTATTAATTTCATTAAATACAGTAGCTATTGGAAATACAGTTTAAACAACCCTCATGCATCGGGAAAATTATCCTGTAGGCGCAATTATAAAATGGCTAAACTGTTATGCTTGCTCCTTTGGAGTTGTATCACTGCCTGCATATTCATCATTTTAATAGTTTATTAGACTATCTCTGAAAGAACCTCGTGAAGTGACTCACATCGTATAGAACCCTGGTCAATTTGATCTTCTACAAGTTCAGAAGTTATACCACAAATTCTATAACACTTTTCAATTCATCTTTAAGAATCCAAGAGTTCTTCTACCACTTGGTAAATAACAGATCCTGCAGTAATCGTTTCTTGCAAAGTTCAAAGTGTATGTTGTAGATTATAAAGACGTAAAGAGAATAATAGAATTAATTAAAATTGAGCATTGCAAAGAAATATAAATAGTAGGTTCTTTGTTGGGTTCATTAAAGAATTGCTCAAAAACGTTCCGAGTTTTATTTGTAAAAAATTTTTTATAGTAAAGCTGTACGATATAATCTTTATAAGTTATACTCTAGTAAATATATATTTTTCTCAACCAAATGTATACTTTATTTAAAGAGTTGGTTGTACGTACGTAGTAAGTTTTTGGCTTATATTCATGAATGTACTTACCTTGTTAGTAGAAAAATTGTCTAATACGAATGAAATTCAAAAAAAGATCTAACGAAGGTTTACGTGTATGAACTTACGCAAACATCAGTAAGTTTCTCGAAGTTCTTTCTCATAAGGTTATAACCATTGTTATCCTAATATAATCAAAATTATATTACAGAATAAAGCTTTATTTGGCTAGACGTTAATTATGTTTATTCCATTGTTCTTTATATGTGATAATTTCTGTTACAACTGCGGAAATGCTTTACTTAATATTTAAGTGATAAAAATAAAGCTCGCGTGCTTTTTTTGTACAGCTAAATCTTACGTAAGAACATAAATTTGGACATGTAATTGGCTTGCGTGTGGTGCTAGAAAATTCAAGTTGCTTTGTCTTACCCGATAGGTGATGATGAATGCAGTCTAGATATAGGGAACAAACAAATTACGTGTTATTCACGTGATCGAGGCTTATGAAATGCATACAGAAATATAATGCATACCAGATACGTACTGAAAAATATAAATACGTCCCAAACATTCAATTCGATTATAAAAAATCGAAAATTGAAAAGTTATTTAATATAAAATTCATAATTCATGGATGAACTTCGTAAACAAGTTCTTTCTCACACTGCTGGTGAAGAGCGGGTTGAGGTTAATCAAAGGCACTTAATCGATAAGATCTTGGCGAGGTACTTTGGTTTAAACATAAAATGTTTCGAATTTAAGCAAAGTAAATTAAATATTTAAAATTTGGTGCAGGTATTCGGCAGAGTTTGTAGTATTCCGGGAGCTAATGCAAAATGCAGGTAATTAGCTATGGTAATAATATCCGAATATCTGACTACTCCTAAAGATTACGAAATTCAAATATCGATCTATTATTATTTCAGACGACGCAAAGTCTTCTAGTGTAGAAATTATATATGAAACTCAGAACAAAAGTGCAGAAAAATCTAATATATTAAAAGATAAGTGTGTAAGAATATTATTTAAAAATAATGGCTTCGCATTCCGTCCTGAAGATTGGAGTCGATTAAAGAAAATTGCTGAAGGGAATCCTGATGAACAAAAGGTTTTAGTTAACTTTTTATCTGTGCATTTTATTGATTCATTTACACAGTCTAACCAACCTAACTATATGCTTTTTAATGGTATTAAATAGATCGGTGCTTTTGGAGTTGGATTCTATTCATTGTTTTCTGTTTGTGAAGAGCCATTGTAAGTGCTATTGCACATAATTGGCGTAATTGATGTAATTAGCATTTATATATTTTTTTCGGCATATCTTATTTTAATTGTAATTTTTTTTTAAAATTATAATAGTGTATCCTCGGGAGGTCAAGGAATGGCATTTTATTGGAAAGGCGATCAGTTATTTGCTAAACGCGCTGCCATTAATCAAGAAGATCAAACATGGACAACTTTTCTTATGGATATGAGAGACCATGCGGAGGTATATAATTTTATTAGTTCTTTCAATCATCTGGCTTGGGTTTCAATAACATAAAATAAAATTTTCTTTATACTAGTTTCCCAACGCCGAAGATTTTGGTCGATTTTTGGCCACATCGCTAGTAAGAAATTTCAACATTTAAAAGTGTTAATTCTTATTTGTACATTCATCTATATGTATGGGATAACTTATAAATCACGGTAACATTATTTATAGGGTTTCACAGGAAATCTTCGCGAAGTATCCGTGTATTTCAATGATAAAAGGATTATACGTATCACAAAAAAAATGTCGGATCCAAGGACTATGACTATATTCTCTGGCTTAAATACGACATCGCCAGAAAGAATGTTCAATTTAAAATCTGTTGATGTACGGAATGTGCAATTAGATGTCGAGAGGACAATTATTCCATCAAAATTTTCTTTAACGAGATCGACTTTGAATGATTATCCGACAGAAGAAACATCCATATTTCTTCGAGTCGCTAGTGGCCATTTAGATGTACGAGTATCAAGAGCATTTTCGGCAGATATGGAGCGTATAACAAAAAAGAAACCACCGAGTCAAACTACTATTCAGATGATATTTACTGGATATGACGAACAGTATTTTTCTGAAGATAAAAATAAGAAAATATCTGGGATATTTAAAAATTTATTACCATTTCCCGAACAAGGTAGAATCTTTATCGGATTTTCTACACACCAGACAACTGGGTGCAGTTCTCATTTGGCGGCCCGCTTAATCCCAACAGTAAGTATTTTATTGTTGAATGAACTTGACGTATGTCCAATTGTCTAAAGTTATGTCTACTCTGAATTTCATTTTATTTATAATTTGATAGGTTGAGCGCGAATCTATTGATCTAGTCGATAAAACTCTTGCTGTTTATAACAATGAAATGTTATGTCTCGCTGGGATTCTGTCAAGAATATTGTACGAAGATGAAATGATTCAAATATCTAAAATTTACAAAGAAATTGTTGGTTCAAACGCAAAGACTGATGAAGCTACAAATTCGGCGCGTGAGTGGCTTGAAAAACGAGCTGCACATGCACTTTCCCATTTTACGTTTAAACCTAGCACACCTAATCCACACGTTGGCCAAATTATTGAGTCTCAATTTTTAAATTGTGCTTCACAGCCCTTATCTATTATGTCAACTCTTGGAGTTCAACTAATTAACTTTGTACGAATGCCTAACTCAGAAATGGCGACTTTCATCAAAACTATTCCCACAATTCCCAAAATTGTCATGGAACAATGTGATGTTTTTATTAAAAAAGCTAGAAATAAAATGAACATTATTAAAGATATTTCACTCGGCGATGTCTTTAATGAATTACAAAACCGCACTCTTTCACAAGAGGACACGGTGGCATTGATGAAGTGGTGGATAGGTTATCGAACCAAAGAACAAGTTTCGGAATCAGATGTTCAGCAACTATTAAAACTTGCTGTAGTTTGTATTGGTGACAACGTGATACCATTAAATAAAATTCAATATTGGTTAAATCCTACTGTGATTCCGCCTGATTATGAAGTTCCATCTAGTGTTTTACCTTATTCAATAAGTAAATCATTTCAAAAAAATGATATCGAAAAGTGGTTCGGGTAAATAGATATCTTTTATTAGTACCTTTTATGCATACATTTCGTTCTTACAGGCTGTTTATATGATTTTCTGCTTTTTATTTTATTTTATTATTATGATTATTATTTTATTTTTTCTTTAGTGGATGGAAAGAACTTTCACTTGCTACCTGGACACAATACATCACGACCAAACCACAGATAGAAAATGATCCCGACTTTGCAGAGAAGGTTCTTGGAATCATTGCAAGAAGTTATCAGAAATGTTCATCAAACGACCAGAATACGATCAAACAGTTGCTTGTTGGAAAAAAATGTATTCCTACAAAGCACGGATTGAAAATACCGGACGATTCGTACTTCCCAA